AGGGCCAGTCCAAGCAGAACAGGTTTGTTCCCAGCCTCTTGCGAAACAAACGTCACAAGATTTTTTGCAAAGACATGCGTCAGAGCCTGTAAAAGCACCAAAAACATCCAATTTGTTTGCGTTTTGAATCTTTATATTAAGGATTTAATAAGATAGTATTGCAGTAGTATGTTGAGACAGAAAAAGGTTTACCTCATCTTTTCCTAGGAGGATCTTTGTGGTGTACATAGGCTTGTTAATGTCACCACATGTGGTATCAGGCGTAAGGGAAATTAGTGTCCCCATCTTCCCATATTGGGTGAGGACTACAAATATGTAGTTGCTGAACTCTGTGCACACAACCTGAGTGGAGATGCCGCTGACCATCTGTTCTCTCTGCTTGGATCTGATGATGGGTTCAGCTGCCATAGTCACCTTCTGGATAGGTCTGAAAAATAAAATGGACCATGATAACATTGGCTCACTCACTCGCCAAGTTCGGCCTGATTTACCTGTTGAGCGGCTGGACAAAATGACACCTGGCTCGACAACAGGTGCTCCAGTATCGCACCCTTCCCATATGACAAGACCAGGTCACGTGGCTCACCATCACGTGTCGCTCGCAGTTTGCACAGGAAGAACACACCTTTCACAGCGCTGACACAGAATCCTGTCGCGTTTTCTAGACTTTACAGTTCAGAGAAGAGGACAACGCCTCAGCTACAGGTGTCCTGTAAACAGTGCTGTAGAATCCTGCTTCACAGCGACACATGCTTTTAATTTACAAAGGTATATGGTACCTGGACTGCGGCCATAGGCCACCTGGTTCTGTAGATACCTTCTCAGCTAATGACCTGCAAATCTATACGAATTGAGCCAACCACTGCTTCAAATAAAATTAATGTAAATTAAACATCAAATTTTACACAAGAGCCAAGATATCAGTTATGACTTAGTTATGGTTTCATAAGACTTCATTTCTTTACCAAGTAAGATTTCAAAGCAGTACTCCAAAATGAGTTAGGAGAAACTGACTGTTAATTACAGACATTTAGTGCAATGTGTAAGAATAACCCAATGCCTAAATGAGTGTAAATTAATGTTGGCTCCAACTTTGGAAGTACCAGCAGCATCCAACACTTTTCTTGTGCACATCAGGCTCCGGGTGCTGTGTCATTCATTTTATTTCAAACATCCTGACATGCACAAAAAGCTTCCCAGATTTGAAGGACAGAATACCTCCTTACAATTAAATAATTCAGGACAGGTCACAGTAATATGCACCTGCACTTATATAGCAGGGCAGCTTCATGGCCCAGTGGTTAGTATGGCTGCCTCACAGCACTGGGGCCCTTGGAGAATGGAGTGCTGTCTGTGTGGAGTGTGCATGTTCTC